AAAATAGACAATTAATTTTATTCTTTTTTTTTTTTTTAGATTAATAATATGTAAAAGACAGAGACTGACATTTCCTAAGAGCATACAGTACTACTCCTTGATATGTTGAAACTGACCTTTTAAATAATGCCTGGTTAATATCTGCTACATCAATTCTTTTAAAGGCAGGAGGAATGTGGTGATTGGGCCAGTATTTAAGATTCCATATTTTATATTTTGTAGGGGCATTAAGTTGATCAGATCAGTTTATTGAGGTGGAATATTTACATTTTCAGATGAATTCTATCTCTCTTCTTAATGCCAAATATCTGGTGGTCACCATTTATCAACACAGAACAGAGCATAATGGCTGAGGAATTTTGGAAAGAAAAAAAAAAAAAGTTTGAAAATAACAAAGTTCCTAATTTTAAATATGTATACATTTTAAAATAGGGCATTCTTGTAACTGGGTATATGTTTTAGTTCTTTATATGAACTCTGGCTAAGCCAGGTTACATTAATTAAATTTTTTTAGTACACTCTAAATACACATTATCACATTTGGAAATGGTTGTGTAAAATATGATATCTTTTCACTCTTCTCTGAAGATTACAGCATGGGGACAGGTAAAGTAGTGCTTATTATGCATTTGCTAAACTTTCATAGTAGCAGTCTCTTTCCTAGTCCAACAAGAAAAAGTTAGGCAAAGAACAAAATTTATATTACCAATGAGCTGCTGAGAAGATTTAGAAGTCATATTAACTTTGAGAGGAAACACTCACTATGGTGTTGTAGACTATATTAATCATTATAAGATGTTCATAAGTAAGGTGTCAGAACTGGGATTTAGTTTGTTTTCCATGAAATATTGGACTTGCAAGGGTGAAAAGCACTAGCAGGAGAGAAAAGGGAGATATAGGTTTGCACTACATTTTCTCAAGAATTAAAAGAAACTGCCTCTGACTCAGTGGTAACTGTCTGATCATCAGGGTGGTGGTGGAAACTCCGTGAATTTTTCATGTAGTTTTCTTTGCTTAAAAAAAAACCCCTGAAAATTACTTAAGGGTCCCAATTCCCTTACCTAAATAAGGCATGTGAGATATCCTTTTGTTATTCAGAAACTACAGCTCTTCCAGCAGTGCTTCTCATCCAAGAGTTTTAAGGTAGAAACTTGACACAGAATAAAAGAATCCTCTTATGGATAATAATTTATAAAAAAATTTCAGAAGTAACTGAAACGGAAAGAAATCAATAGTGAGAAAACTGCAGAGAACATCAGATTCATGACTGCTCTGGAAATGAGCTAAAAAGTGAAATGACAGAGTCTTCTGAGACTCAGAAAGGAAAATCTAAATTTGATACTGATGAAATTACTGTACAGTGTAAGGAACAACCATTATCTGTTCAACATTCTTCGTTCTATTCCTCCTCAGCTCATGAGGAAAATCTAAGGATGACCAACAGCACATAAGACTCCTGCAACATAAATCAATTTGATGCTAAAATACTCCATTAAGCTCATTGTTAATAAGAAAATTAATGCACATTGAGGAGAGAAACTCAGCACCCTACTTATTTGTGTGCACCCCCTAATTATTTATATGCAGTGCATAACTGTAAATTATCTATTTGCATAAATAGGATGGAAGCTATGGAGTTATTGCTAGTAGTTAAGAATTTCAGTTCAGTGTTTACTGGAAGAGAAATCATATATATATATATATATATATATATATACATACACATACATACATACATTAAAATATGTAGTGGAATATTTTATAATATTTAAATTTTTCTTTGCATTTAACCTATAACCTATATTATAAGTGAGAAATGTGCAGAGAAAGAAACAGAAAAATACAGAGACACAGACTGGTATCTGCTTAAAGGAAGAGTTAACCAAGTAAACTCATCAGATTTCCAAACATGGTTACATGAATATAAAGCAGCAACAGTCTTCTGTGAAAATAAAAGTAGACATATAATAAAAACCTATGAGCAATTTCTTTACAAATATGTAGTTAATGAAGTTAAAAATACAGAAGAATATCATCTAAACACTGAAACATCAAGTTCTGCCAGATTATAATTAATGAGTAGATAACCTAGGTCATTAGTGCAAATTTGAGTTCAGAAATATGTCATTTTGCCCCAGAATGCAGGATAGAACAATTCTTTCAAAACACAATTTCTAATTTCTTGATAATATAATATTAAAAGACAAGTAAGACCCTCTTTGCTTCTAATTTAGGCTGTACCTTCAAGTTGAAATAAGAAAGAAGCAATTTTATGTAGCATGAATATATAGCCTTGATACATTATTTCTTTCTGTTCGGTTATACGCAGCACCAAAATCTGGAGCTGTAATGAAGATCTGAAAAGTAATTTTTATTCCTACTCTTAGTTCAACTCTCTGACAATCATAATTTTTATGACAATCATAATTATCATAATTTTTATTAAAATCAATGCTTCATAATAGTATTGTATTAAGGAGAACTGTGGTTTCAATAGTAATTTTTAAATAAATAAGAATTTAGCATATCCAATAAATTAAATAAAAAACATATACTACTTAAAAAAAAAGTGGATATTTTAAATTCTAAAAAGGCAAATAATAACTGCATAGACCCTACATATTTCTGGGATTTTAGGTGGCATCTGTTCAAAGAGCTTACTTTTTAAATGTGTGTTGTAAGTGTTCATCCAAGTACCAGGCAATGAAGTCAGAAACTGAGCATGTAATAATTTTCTCTTCTTCTGTACAAGTACAAGGCATAAGCCTTTCAAGGTCAAACAATTTTCAACACTATAAGGGCTCTATTCTTTTACACGACTTGAGACTAAAATATATTCAGTTTGTGGGAGGGTGGTGGAGTGTGGCTGCTCTTACAGCCTTCTGTGAAATGACTGTTTTCCAACCAAATTTTCATTCTACAGAGAGGTATTCCAGAAGTGCACAAAGGGGACAAATGTTCAACCATGCATAACTAGTCTTAGCATCCACAAGCGCTAAACTAATCTGATTCTGACCTTGGAAGTCAACAATTAAGTATTAAAAAAAATAAATAATTCAGCAAACACAAATAGAAAGGTCTTTTCTTTGAGATTAAAAATCAAGATTCCGATTTTTCATATTTCTTTTGCTCTGTTTTTTTTTGTGGGTTTTTTTTTTTTGTTTTTTTGTTTTTTAATGGACTTGCTTTTCCAGTAACAGTGATACTGAGAACTAACACAGAATCAGTGGACGAAAATGCCATGCCGTTATGTACTTGAATCCTCAGAGCTCTGAAACAGTCTTTTTTTGGTGTTTCCCATCAGTAAACTTGATTAGTTGTAATAATCTCATAGCATAGGTCCACCAGAATATATGATTAGCCCTTCTGTTTTAATGGAAGTATGAGGGGAACTCAAGAAGAAAATTTCACTGTGTCATTTCCTATCCTCACTATAATATCCTGTTACCAAACAGGTGTAAAAGAACAAGCCTCAAGTTATTTATGTAAAATATCTCTCTGTGATGGAGCTTGTTTTCTGTGTTTCTAATAATTCTCTGCTTAATATATTCTGTGCAAGCTCTCCTAAGAGAGATACTTTGACTATGCATATTAGAAAATCTGGCGCACCAAAGAAAGGTAATTGAAGTGGAAACTGTTGGAATAAGTAAAGATAAATGAGATGAAATGTTAAGTTTGATTAATAGGGAGACCCAGAATGAGATTGGGTTTGGTGGAACAAAAGGTAAGTGATGTCAAAGTAATATGATGTATCAATGTTGAGTTTTTGTTTGAATTACAAGTGTGAAGGCGAGGCAGGCTGGGAAAAATCAGCTGGAATGAGGATGAAACAGACCTTTAAATGGTTTTACCAAGTTTGGTAGAGTAGTCCCCAAAGAAGGGTAGCAGATTTAAGTAGGATCTGTTACTGAGACTGTGAATAGAGGTAAGAGCAGAGTACATTTACTACATTTGAGAACTCCACAGGAATGAATTCTATTCAGTCTCTCTGCCTTCAGGTGACTGTGAAGACTACTGCTATGTGAAGAATGATAGGAATCAAAACCACAGCATGTGTAACAGTATTGCCAGGAGCATGACTCTAAATGATACAGGTTAATAAGTGATCCCAAATTTGTTCACATTTTATGCTCAGATGATTTCCCATAGAAAAGAAAATGTCAGGCAAGACTTGAAAACTCGGAGCACAATCTGGGCTCCTAGGGCACACTTATGATATTTTGTACTCATTCCTGTATATCTTGATTCTTATCAGAGGCTTCTACATTGTCAGGGTAAGTGAACTAAAAGCAAAGTGGAAAGGGGAAAAAAAACCCACTCATGCATGAAAGTGGCTCATCTCTGTCCCATAATGCAGGACTAAATAATATAGACTAAGCAGACCGACTTGGGAATATCTTGAAGTAATGAAGATTGGTTTGCTGTGTTGTCTGTTTAACTAGATGGTTTCAACACAAGTGCTGAATATCAATAATAAATATTGCATATCTCTAATAGGTTCTGAAACCACTTATGTAATGTGCATGTGTACATCAATTAGGAACCATACAAGGTAACTCTCATGCCATATGTATCTATAAATATGCGAGTATGATTATTATAGGCTTTTAGGTTGTGAATACTGCATCACAAGAGACCACATTTAAAATAAAAAGTTGATGTACATGTGAATGATGATAATTTTTTTCTTTCATTTGAAAATTTTTCACCACTGCTTTTCTCTTATGTTCTGTCTTTTCTTTGACTTTTTGTGGTTGTTTCCTCCGTGACTCCCTCATATGAGTACTGAATAGTGATAAGAAAATTCTCAGTTCAGCACAACCAAATTGATACTGCTGTCCCAAATACTACTACCATTTTTTCTCTTTGCTGTTGTGACAGATTGATTGTCCTATATTTATTCAAGTCCACAATTGGATTATCAGTATTGTAAACCTTTATTATATGGCTTATGCTAAAGTAACACTGCATCTCTGAACTTGTACATTTTATTTTCACAGGAACAGACCTGTAAAGATGTTTATGTGGTGGTCTGCTGTTTTACTTCTTGGATGCATTTTGCTGGGAGCAGATGGGTGGCCAGTCAAGGAAGGATACGACTTTAGGCCCTATCAGCCCCTAGTAAGGTTACGGCACAAGGTATGGATTATTCTCTAATAGTTCTTTGGTTTCTTCCATGGTCAAGGGATAAATTACACTCCAGCCTTGTATTTTTTGTGTTTATTGGAGTAGTGGAGTTGTTAAGAAATTAACTTTTTCAAAGAGATTGAGATAAGATCTGTTTTAGCTTCAGAAACTAGAGATTGGTTATATCAACAGAAACTCAGAGGGAGAGCTATGAGAGGCATTCTCTTAAAGCAACTGTCAGCATCTTCTTAAGGCAATGACCTGTCCCAGTCCTCAGTAAATTTCAGTCCAGGCAGCAAACAGGAAACTGCCCATCAAAGAAGAATGGTGTCAAAATGAACTGATGAACAGAAACTTGTTTGCAAGAGGTAGATGCTCCAAGTGCTTGCTGAATTTAGCAGTTTTGGACCATGGCATAGTGCAGATGTTTTCTGAGTTACATGTACTATTCAACTAGTGCACACCATTAAAATTTTGCCCACCTAATGCTCCTTTGTCATGAATCCAGGACTTCCAAAACAGTTTTCAGGTAAAAAATCCTGTCCTTCTTCTGGTAGTTAAAAGGGAAACTTCTGTGGTGCTTCTGTAAAGCAAGGAAAAGGGCTGTAATATTCCCATGGGCTGTCTAAAGTTAGCATAGATCGGATCAACTTAATTCCTTAAGTACTATAAAAAGCAAATTCAACAAACACAAATAGAGAGATGTTCATGGAGAGGTCATCATGGGAGCAACATCTGAAGCACCTTAAGAACTACAGTCAGGCCAAAAAATGTCACTCTTCTGAATTTTTGTGCTACAAGTAAAAGGTCTGAATTATAGACAGAAATTCTAAATGTTAGTTACTACTAATGTTTAAAGATACTGCTAGTTTTACTTCTCAATACTTCTTGTAAAGTATGAAAATTATTTCTTTTTGATCCTCATTTTAATGAAAAGACCCAATATTGTGTGATTTTTTCTCAGCATATAAGGAGGATCTGACAACATGAGTTCCCAAACAAGTAAAACACTTGCCTATTAGCTAATTAATGCATGCTATGTAGATTAAATACACAAAGTTTCTTAACAGATGGAAAATAAATTCTTAAAATTATACAATTATATACCCTCTAGGGAATGTTCTCAATCAGAATAAAAACTGAATCAGGCCACAGTCAAGGAAATAAAGAACTGTATCAGCACACAGTTTTTATGCTGTTATTCAAAACTTTATCTCATCACTTTATTTCCATTTGACAGCTGTAAGAAAACTAAAATAAAATAGCACAAGAAAAAGACTTTGAAATCTAGAAGGAAGAGAGAGACTAGTAATGAAACCATGGAACGAATCATATGAGACAGAAAACATAAAACCATGAAAACTCTGAGAACAATGAAGGACAAAATATGGGGTATTCTGAGGTTAGATGGTCTCTGATCTTAATTAATATATGTGGAACTATTCATATGTTGGCATTTCTTAATTATACTTTAAACATACTGACAACCCTCATTTAATTATTGGAATAGACTGTAAGAAACTTTTCAAGTTTAATATTGGGGGAATCACAAATAGACATATGCAAAAAACATAAAAATAATTAAAACTTGATATGAAAGATTGTATTGAAAAATATGGTGGGTTTTTTTCTTAGGCAACATGTCTAGATAAAAAATGTTTTAGTATAGTTCAACTTTTGGTATTAGGGACATATGTTTCTACCAAAAAAATCTAGGAGTGTAAAACTTTTCTAAAGTCAATTTTAAAAACCAACTTTGGCACAGATACGCAAAATGTAAATAATATGGTAAAATAAACATTCTGCTTCAATCACACACTTAATAAATCAAGTGCTTAGATTAAGTTATGCCGATAGAATACTTACTACAAACAGGTGATAATGAATATATGCAGTTATATTTTTTTCTTTGATCAAGCAATATGTATGCAAGTTTATGTGTGCAGAGATAAAAAAAAAAAGATTAATCACTTGCTCTGATAAAGGGGAATTTATCTGACTTGAACAATAGTCCAACTAGAGCAACTTCAAATGTCAACCTGCAGGGAAAAACAATCCTATTGGTACTTAGGTATTATCTTGAAATAATGATTGTGTTCGTGGTGGAAACAGGCATTTATATCATAAAGGTTGTGTTGTTTTAAAAGGGATTATGAATGATTTCAGCTTCTCATGCATAGAAATTACAAATAGGAATTTAGTCTATATATATGATAATCTGAAAGCATAAGAATAGCATTACTATGGAAAAAAACTTTATAAATAGGGAAAAAATATGCATAAGAAAATATTATTTTACTTTGAGCACTGGAACAGATTACCCAGAGAGGTTGAGTCTTCATCTTTGCAGATATTTAAAAACTGTCTGGACATGGTCCAGGGCAGCCTGTTGTGGGTGACCGTGCTTGAGCAGGGAGATATGACAGGGTGACCTCCAAAGGTCCTAATATTCTTTGAGTCTATACTTCATTATAATACACCATTAATTATAGTAATGTTCATTATCACAGCTGTTATGATGGTAATGAAGATCAAATTTTTGTCTGCATTGTTTATATGTGAAATATTCAAACCCAGGAAGAGATGAGTTCTCTTGAAACAGAACTGAGAAAGATTATTACAAAGCACAAAAATTATTACAAAACAACAAAGTTGTTTTCAGTCCCCTTCCCTTGTTTAACTGCCACGGCTTACATTTATGTGGCTATGCTGAAAAGTGCTAGGCTGTGTCTGAACAGCATGTGAATTTCTTGTTAAGCCAGGTAATCCTTGGTTCTTCATTTGTCAAAACACTGGAAAAGTTTGTAAGGTACTTTCCATTTGGGAGTCTTCTTGCATTGCTGCTGAAGTATTGTGAGCAATTTGTTAATACCTTGGTTCCCACCTGATATTGTTAGGAAGTAGTTTTAGCATCCTAATGAATTTTCTCCTTGTCATTTGCATGCCTCTTACAGAGACCAATGTTTATGCAATATCTTCAGTGAAAGAGTGTATGCTCTGAGATTTCCAGGTATAAACAGGCAGGTGGCAGCCAACAGAATGGCAACAGTTGGCTGCCGATTCCCTGTCAGACGCTAAGAAATATGGAATATAGCCTGTACATCCATATGTATGCTCCAGAGCATGCCAACTCTGCGTGTCTAACACAGCCCTCCTTGGCAAGCCAGGTGCTTCAAATGGTTTAGGAGGGAATAATACTGATGGCAGTGCCTCGTTGTTAATGATCTCATCACAGGTTCAGTTCAGTTTTAGTCTCAAGGGACAGTGGGTGAAGATGTAACTTAGTCCTTGTGTTCTGGACTCCTTTTACTTCAGCCCAAAGCTGACCTCTCGAGGTCAGGACAATCATGTTCCCAATAGTCAGGGCTAACCCCTCACTGGGAGCCAGCACTGCCCTGACAGCATGGGTGGGTGTGGGCTCTGGGGAGCCTGAGAACAGAGAGAGAGGAGAATCCAGGGAAGTCAGAGTTCAGCCTGAGCCTCAGCCTGAGCCTCAGCCTTGGCCTTGGCCTGCTCAGGATGGTCCAGCAGAAAAGAGCTTCTGTTCAGCTGAGCAGGAGCATATGGAGGATACAGCAAAGGAGTGTGCCAGCTTTCACTGGCTCCTGCTGATCTGTTGATTCAAACTTCTTTCCAGCCTTGTCCTGATTTCATCTGGTTTTACCAAAGGGCTAAGGGGAAGAGACTCAGCTGCGCAATCCTCACTCTTGTCTGTGAAATTTCTCCAGACTAAAATATTTATTTTAACTTCCTGTAAAAAATCTGCCTCTCTCCCTTTTTCCTCTTTCCTTCCCTTCTTACTGTTGCTATTAGCTGCTAAATCCATCTGCTCAACCCTGATTCACATTAAATTAGGGCTCAGGACTAGGTCAGTTTAGCGGTGTTTAGGTTACATTAGAATTAGATCCAGTTTAAAAACGTTTAAGCAGCAAAGACTTTGTCTGAATTAAACAAAGCAACAGAAGTACATAAACTTCTGTCCCAGTTTATTAAAAGCAAATTTGAATGCATGAGCACAAACCACAGAAAAAAACTCGTGACTTTTAGGTTTTTGCCCAAAGCTTATAAAATGTTCTCCCTCTACTAAGAGCACTGAAATGCCTGTAAAATATAGACAGGCCGAGTGCTCAATGATTTTATTGTCGTTTAGGATGTTGTGTCCAAGAAAGAAATGTGTGGAAAATAGTATTCCAGATTCAAAAATAGCCTGTGCTTCCCTGTGTTGTCTGGTCTCCAAACAACCTGAGATTTATAGTTCACAGTGTCTATCTGGAAAATCTGTTTACTTGCAGGATCTGAAAAGTCATAAAATTTGATCCTCTAAAATCCTCTGTCCTAGAGAGAGAGAAGGGAAAAAAGTCTATTGAAGATGAGCAGTGAATCCTGAGGACTAAGAGCTTTTCCTGTCATGTCAGTGCTCTAAAGTAACATGAGAGTGTTCTTCCCTGGGAGCTTCCATGAGCACAGAATCTATGTCCTATGAAAATTCCAGGATTAGAAGTTGCAAGACTCATTTTTACTTTTTTTTCCTCCTTACTCACTTGTAAGTACAGTCAAGAAGCCTTTGTTTTCTGTTTAAGTTTTATTTTATTTTCCTTTTCTCAGGAAAAGGAGGGGATTCTGCAATCTAATCTGATTTTTCCTGTGGGCAATAGCATTAAAAAAGCATGGGTAAATTTATTTTTTTAACACCATTACAATCACTGTGCATTAATAAGCTAATATCAAAAATTAAATTAAAATTAGACATTTTAGACATTAGACATAAATGTTAAAATTAAACATTTTATTTTTGCTATCTCTCACTACATGCTCAAAGCATTTTTTAAGTCTTAGGAAAATTGCTTCTAAAATCTCCCTGTAAAATTTCTTCTATAATCTTTCTTCCAACTAATCAGTCACTGGGGAGTGGAGTGTCAAAATCTGGAATTAAGGCAAGGCTGATGCCTCCTTTCAAGATGCCTGCTGGTACTTACTAGCAATGACTATCTATAAACTGGTAGTCAAATCAA